GTCAACCTGTGCTGAAATCACCTGATTATTCGAAAGAGTTCATAGTTCAGTGTGATGCTAGTGAGCGAGGCATGGGAGTAGTGTTGTGCCAACGAGGAGAGGACGGTGAACACCCAGTTCTTTATGCCAGTCGTAAGCTGACTGTGCGAGAACAAGCGTATAGCGCAACCGAGAAATAATGTGCGTGTCTCGTATGGGCAGTGCAAAAGTTGTCGTGCTACCTTGCAGGCTCGAGGTTCATAATAGAGACAGACCACTGTCTTCTCAGATGGCTGCAGTCCACTTCTTCCAAAAATGGTCGCCTCCTGCGCTGGAGCCTCGTTTTGCAGCAGTATTCATACGAAATACGGTACAAAAAGGGGAGTCTCAATGGCAATGCCGATGGCTTAAGCCGAAGCCTCTAGGTCATGAACTGGCCTCGATTGTTTTTTTTCCTGACATAGGTTTTTGTGTTATTATTTCTTCCGTAGTTTTGGAAGACCTGTGCGTCGTTAGGTTGGCAACGAAATTAGGGGTGTGTTTAGTACTTTGTACGAGTAATAAGATTGAGACTTTTGTGTTTAAGGTAAGCCTGGCGGGGCTCAGTGGATATGTGTCTCGCGCTTGCTTCTTCAGTGGCTTTGTTATCCTGTGTTTTCCCGTGGATTGTTTGTTCAGTCGACCGGCTCCACCATGGCGAGGATCTTGCCCTCCCAGAGAGAGGACTTCGTTGTCATCTGGCATCTCTTCGGACACCACGTCGGTTCCAAACTCTTGGCAGAAACGCCGGAAGAACCTGTGGTTTCCCTTCTTGCTGATGAAAGACCTGAAGCGGTGGGGTGTGATGATCTCACCACCCGGAGCTGCCTGGCGACCAGCCCCACCGACGAGCCCCTGCGGGGTCGCCCCGGAAAGGAGCTCATACCATTGTCTTTGGCCATTTTTGACTGTCGCCATTTGCTGGATTCCATTGTATGGTTCGCCTCCAGCCTCCGGCGAACCTCGACAACATCAGGGAAATCTGGCGGAACTACCTTACGAGACGGAACAGGGCCTAGAGCCAGGTGTCACGTACCGTGCTCCAGGTTAAGAAGGCTACGAGCTTCGACGACTGATCCCTGTTGACAGTGGATGGTGTCCCCTGCCATTCGGGATCTCCATCCGCGAGGGGGCAGTCTGTTACGCTTCATTTTACGCGAACCCCTTTGGGCCCAAATGCAAGACCACGGACAGCGTGCGAACGCTCCCGGGCCTGTAAACGTATCGGGGGTAGAGGCGCAGAAGTGTATGCCCAGACGCCGAGGAACCTGAGACGCTGCTGCCGCGAAGGTCGTCATGTGCTGTGCGCGAGAACGCGGTGAGCTCATGGCTCATTCGCACCTGGCTCTTGAGTGTGGGAACGCCGGTGGTGTGATCCGTGGCGTGATCAGTCGCGTGATCGGTGGCGTGACCAGTGGCGTGGTAGGTGGTGCGAACACAAGGTGATCCATATTTGGTCATGTCTGGAGGCGCCTGACGTCACACAAGCGTCTGGAACCCTTTAAAAACGCGCAGGGAGAGACTGGGTGGAGCAGTCTGGATTGAGACTCTGCCGGAACTCTGCTCCTCGGCTTCTTACCTGTGTTTGTAAACTTGAATGTCCACTTTGGTCTAACTATGTAGTTTAAACTCTTTTGATTTGCTGTTCTGCGCCGTCTCGCCGGTACTTCTCTTCTCGTCGGTCCTGATGCAAGTTACGAGCACAACCTGCTGACGGCGGCGGTCAAGAGACACCCCCATAACAGGGCCCAGTTCCCCGACCACGTGACGCTCTTCAAAGTACGTTTTTCTGTCCGACCACGTAAGGCAGACCTGCAACTGGCCAGACAGCCGCATCCGTTGTGGTCGGTCTCATCCAGGAGAGTTGGAGTGCCAGCGTCTCCGTTGTGTGAACTGTAGTGGCCGTCATCGTGCTGACAAACTAGACTGTCCTCGCTGATAGGAGCAGATACGAGTGATTACCATCATGGCTTCTTCGATGACAGCCTTTTCCAGACGAGCAGTCGCGGCAGTTGTGAGGGAGGAGATGAAGGAGGTTCGGTCCTATGCAAGTGCAGTGAAGGGCCATGCTGCACAAGCATGACCGACACCAACACCACGCGACCTCCGCCGGCCACCACTGCAGCCACGACCAACAGTCTAGCTATGCCTGCAGCCCCGCCTGCTCCTGCTGTCCAGCCTCCTGTTCGTGTCTACACGCCTGCGGCCACCACCCCCAGTACCCAGCCTGCTGAGGCCCCTGCCCAGAAGCCTCAAGTGGAACAACTTCTGGGCCCCCTTCTGTTCTCCTTGCAGCAGTCGCTGCTTTACTTCCACCAGAGCACCCGCTTCGTGCCATCTTCCTGCAGGCAGGGGCTTGGCAACAGAACAGCCAGCATGGCTAGTGCTGCCACCAGGCCACGTCATTCCTACGTCCGAGCGTCACCCATTGGAACGTCCACTCGCTGGGGCCACAAAGAGACGAGTTTGCACAACATCTGATGCACAATGACTATGACGTCCTCGCACTCCAAGAGGACTACGCCCAAGCAGAGCAGCTCCAAATTCTAGGCTACGTCGGCAACAGAAGCCGGACCAGCTGCACCCTAACCGACTGCTGCGCTGCCCCCTGACTAGACGACTACTACCCACAAGGACTTGCCCGCTGTGCCATCTACGTGAAGTGGGACCTGTTGCAGGCGGAGGTATCCGTGGCCGACCTGGTCGGAGGTCCCTTCGAGTGCTGCGCCCTCCGCGTCCACCTCGACGGGGTTGATATCGCGGTGGTCAGCATATACATCACACCCAAGGAATCCTGGGACCCCGGATGTCTTTGGCAGCTTGCGCACTGATTGCGGAAGGATTTCCTGCTGTGCGGTGATGTCAACGTCCACCATCCAGCCAAGTGTGGCCGCAAGACCGACTTACGAAGTCGAGAGGTGCGCGACATCCTGCTGCTAGCTGTGCATGGTGATCCCGAACACAGGGGCCGTCACCTACCTTCATCGTGGAGCCAACCGCACCAGCACAGCCATAGACTTCAGCGTAGCCATGGAGGTTTACCGGTATGCCTGGTCGCCATGTTTGGACACTTGGGGTTCGCACCACCCGCCCATCCTGCTGACCCCTTTCCGAGGCAAGGCCCCCGGGGACCGAGATTACCGTGTGGTATGGTGGGTATATCGGCAGCTGTTCAAGCAGGACACGGGAGACATAGACTTCATGCAGCTTGTGGCTAACAGTGCCTGGGCTGCAACCGCCGTCGTCAAGGCGTAGCAAGGGCATCCTGTTTCAGACATCCTGCACCTAGCCTTGAGAGCAGCGCGAAGGTGGGCAGAACGCCAGGCTCTGAAGAAGGCTCAACTGGAGCTCTGGACAGTGTTCTGGAAGGTCGACGCCGTCTGCAGACACCACGCCCGACAATGCAGGAACCAGGGCTGGGTGGGCGTCTTCGCCTCTATCGCACGATCGCGGGACGGCACCAAGGCCTGACGCCTGCTGAAGGGCCTACTGATGGTGCCACGGCCCTTCAACCGAGCGATGTCCCTGGCCGTCCACCTTTCCATCCAGGCTGTGGACCTGGCGGAACAGCTGGCCGACCAGTTTGCTGCGAGGGACATTGACTAGCTACCTGCTGCACCACCTCTTGCTGTCTTGTGCGACAACAAGGTAGCCCTGCAGACGCTGGCTAACCATCACCATGCCAGGCTCACAGGGAGTCTCCTAGCATCCAAGTACCGGGCTCTTGTGGCGACCGGGACATCCGTCTCCTCCCACTGCTGCCCGCTCATGTGGGCATAGCTGGCAAAGAGGAGGCGGACACGTTGACCAAGGCAGCACACCAGCCGGGCATTCCCATCACCCAGGCTGTGGAGGCCAGGGGCTACACGCAAACTCGCATCAAGAAGCTCTTCACCTCAGTCCACCCGGACCAGAGGGTGGCCGATGGGTGGGGACCAAGGCGTCTTCTAGAGGCAGGCCTTACCAGGAGGGAACGAGCCGACCTGCAGTGGTGGCGGACCGGATGCGTGTGGACTGCTGCCCGCCGCTACCTCAAGGGACGCTGCGCCTCCCCATTCACATGTTCTGAATGTGTTTGAATCTTATATTTTTAATTTCAGTCGTGTTATGTGACTATTTTACTGAGCAACCGCAGAAAGGTACACACTGAAAATTGAAATTACGCGTACTGGGCAGACCGTTCAATCATGGTGCCCTGTATTGCTTGTAGATGATGTTTCGTTTTCCGGGCGCAGGTTCGCCAAAACAATAAAACGTTCACTGATGCAAAGATCGGCTACTGTCTTCGTCAACACAACGCCTCCTTTATTTCAATGCCAGTGCAAACGCGTGCTTATCAACGGAAGCCGTATGTCCGCCTCAGTGCAGGAAGTAGCCGTGGTGGGACACTGCATTAGGGGTTGCGCTGCTGGCGCCACACGTGCTTTCGAGAGCTTTACCCAGAGATGCGATAGAGGTGTTTCCCACTACAATATTGTACGTCTGTCGAATTCATTGCTCCGTGCTCTTTTTTTTAAAGCTAGAAGCAACGCCGCCGCCGCAGCACGGCGCATCGACTGCTCTGACCTGATGACCCAACTGGTCCTAGTTGAGTGAACCAGGGCACGGCTTACGCCGATGGGATCCCGTAAGTGGAAGCCCACCTAGTTTTTGTATGGGGCGGCTCCTTGAGGACTGCCCTCAGCCTCCCTTTACATAACTTCCAAAAATTAAATTTTTTCACCACCACCATCGCATCTAGAAGCATTGCAGTGACGCTTCCCCATTGGTTGCCTGCATAGCGCCACGACCGGCTACGCGCTATCTAAAAACACCTTATCTCTTACAGAGCCAGCATGCCCGCTATTATAGCGAACACGAGGAATGCAAGACGCCGGCCCAAGCATCTTACACAACTAAACGAAAATTACTTCGTATGATTTCTGTCGTGAGGTACTGCATGAGGGGCTCCCTCCCCCATGACAGCAAAACACACGCGAAGGCTAGGCGATGGGCGTGAGGAGGAAAGGGCTAGAGGAAAGGGTGGTGTACAGCTGTATCAGATGCATCTGGCTGGCATTGATAAAATAGATGAGGCGTTGGTTAACATTGTTGCAGAATATTCTCTTGGAGCGGGCCAGACCATCGAAGAGGACGAAGTGGGGACAGGCACGTGCTAGAAATGGACAGCGTAAGCTCCAAGGCGAATAACTGGTTCACAGACGTTAGGCGGAGACAACCCGTTTATTCGTCATGAAGCTTAAGCTGTATATTTCCAGCGCGAGCCTGTCCCCACTTCCTCCTCTTCGATAGTCTGGCCCGCTCAAAGAGAATATTCTGCAACATCCCCCTAGGGGTCAAGATGACTCGCACGCTTCGATTAAGTGTGAACCACTCCAGGTTGTTCCAATCCGGAATATTATTCAACATCATCCCAGGGAGGCCAAGGAGAATCGTGCTCACTGAGAACGCAGTTGGTGTTGAAATGCACTTGCTTTGCTACCGGGAGTGCCTGTGCACTACGCCTGTTGATTTGTGGCGGTCGCACCTCTTGCTGTCTCCGGAACTGATGCTGTCGATACTGAGGGTGTTCTTGACGTGTGTTAGGCTTACGTGCTTGGCATGCAGAATCGCGAAGACGCGTTGCCTGTCGTGGTGGTCGCCCAAAAGCTGGCTGGTCTGAGACGAGTTGTTCAAGTATGGCGCCACCATAGAAAACGCCACATCGAAGATGTGTTTGTGTGCGTTGCAGAAGGATTGCGGCTCAAGACTGACAGTGTGTTAGATGGGCGCTGGATGCTCTCAGACGACAAGGGTCCCTGTACCATTAAGCCAAACGTTGTCTCTATCGCTCTTAGCGTTTCAGTTACGCGGTCAGTTTTGCCGGTGGTGACCTTCCAATAGGAGTCGGATCCTATGATGACACTGATCTCGTCGGATTGCCTTGTATTTGCTTGAAAGCTCTCAGCTGCGTTGTACCCCTGTTCGTTAAGCTGGTGCAAAATGTTGGGGTCAAGTGGTAGGCTTGTGACAAAGCAAATTTCAGGAATCGTTGATGCTTCCAAGGTAGCCATTGAATCGTCGAACTGGCTTCGAAGCCCCACGTTGACATGCTCAGTGCACAGTTGCCTTCGTGACTTGGATTCTCTAAAAGTGACAAGGGAGATGTCTACTTTTCTCACGACGGAGCACTGAAGCATCCTTGCCAGGTCCGCACTAATGTAGGTGCGCTGACTGCCGCTGTCCAGCAGTACCCGCACGAGGAATCGGTGGTCTCCAGACTCTGCCCAAATTCTACCTGTCTGTAACAATACGTTAGGGGACTCAACGTGACTCTGGGTGGTAGTGACCATTCGCGTGGCTAATGGGGGTGGCTGAGAAAATTCTGGGGATCCTGCGTTGGGGTGTGAATCTTTGGCTGGGCGTGATAACTCGCAGATGATCGCCAGGTGGTATCGCTGGCAGGTACCACACCTAAGATCGAATGACTTCCTGCACATTCTAGGGATGTGGTTTTGTGTTCAACAGTGGAAGCAACCATTGGTGTACTGTAGCCTTGACAGCTTCTCTTCAGCCGATAAGTTGGCATTGCAAGTAGCTATCATGTGATCCTTGCTGTGGCAGAGGGGGCACGCCAGTCTAACAGGTAAGGTAGACCCTATTAGGGCAGACGCTGACGGAATAATTTCCGTGTCATACGTTTCTTCAGATATGTGGGTTCTGCCTTTGTCTTGCGACACACGACGAGACTAACCGGCCCTCCTCCCGGATTTCCTCTTGAATGCGGGGAAACGTTATTAACTCCTTGGCTAGCTGCGTTCGGTCTTCAGGCGTTTTGACGATGCTGGAGGCGCAGTTTGATTTCTTCGATTTCTGCCAGTACATAATGGCGAGATTCTTCGGCAGACATCGCATCAGGACACGGTTTTAAACCACAGTGTACTGGTTTGGCGCAACCCCTAGGCCTTCCAAGGCGTTAAAGGGGAACTGCTCATGTAGGTGACGAAGCCTTCAAACCTCTGACGAGCTTTTCACATAGCTTAGCGCAAGGAGATTATCAACATGCTCGTTCACAAGGAGATCCTGGCGTTCAAAGCGATCCGTGATGGTCTTGATTGCAAGGTCATAATTTTGCTCTGCTAATTAACAGATGCCTCGCTTCGTGCTCTCAGTTAAGTAAGTTAGGAGGTAGCTGAATTTTTTGATGCACGGTAGCTCGGTATTCTTGTGGATGGTACCGTTTGCATCGTCCCAAAAGGACTGCCATCCACAAACACTACTATCAAAAGTTCGTATCTGGAGCTTGGGCAGTTGAACCGCGACCTGACGGTGCGCTGTCACCTGCCCTGCTGCTTCGCCGGAGCTCGGAAGTTCTAGGTTGCTTGCCCGGGTCCAGTGACTTGTGACTGCGTTGTGGCTGCCTTCTCACGCTCCTGTAGCCAGAACTTCGCTCGTGACACGGCGTAAAAAATCTTTGCGTTTTACTTGTTTGCTGTTTCCACTCCATGATCCAGATTTTCTTTGTCCGTTGCCGCCAGAATGACGTCGTGGAGCCTAGAAAGTGCTGCTTCTTTATCTTTCAGGAAATCCATGTGGCCGGTAATCTGGGAGGCATGAAGATGCGGTTGCTGCAGCAGGTCCGATAACAGTGCTAGTGCTCGGGTGACACCAGCTCTGATCGAGCCGCGCTTCTTCCAAAAATGATCAGTGGTCGCCATGGTCGTGATGTTCAGGGATGTTTCCGAAGGAGCGGATCCCGGGTTTTGTGCACGTAGCTATTCGTCTTCGACACAATTTGCAACAAACATCATGACCCCGTGACAATACGAAGACTCAAAAATAACCGTTTTGGATCCGACATCGCGACACTCTACAGAACGCTGGTGTAAGAGAATAAATGCGGCCACTCCAGGGATAAATGCCCTTATCGCGCAATCTCTTCCTGTTGAGAGCGCACCGTGTAGATAGGTTTGCGAGCCGTGCGCTTGCTTTCAAATATCGCGCGGGCCAGCTATCGCAAGCACGCCCTTGATTAGAACCAAAGTTTACGGCTGCTGCCCGAGCGACCCCTCCCCCTCTTTCCCGCGTTTTTCATGCTTGTTCATGACGGGTAACGTGTTTCCTGTTTCCTCTCTGCTTGGGCATTCGACGGCAGGTCCAACACGCGGCGGGATGCTATCACAAGCGCCCTCCGAGTGACGGAGATCGGCCACCTCGTTTAATTTCTGCTTGAGGGGCGCCACCTCAGCTTGCGCAATTTTACGTGTGGGTAGAACCAGCAAAGCGCAGAGAATGTTACGAACTGGTTGTTAACGCAGAACATGACGGCGACGGCGAAAACCAGTCGACTGTCCTTATAATTCCTGTCGTAATAAAAAAATTCACTTCATTGCTTAGCAAAGGCTCGGTGAGCGCATCTCAATTTACTCGTGGTCCTCACGTCAGCTGTGGCACTTCAATTACCAAAACATGTGTTTCTACATTTATTTTTATAGTGCCCTATCAGTTTAGTATGAAAATAACTTTTATTATAGTAGCTCATCTCTAGTTGAGTTACGTTCATGTTGGAGGCTGTGATTTAATCACATTTTGGACATTTAAACTCTATTTTGTTTTCATTCGTTGGAGGTCTAGTAGCTGTCCAGAATGCCGTTTATGTGTTAGGGGCGAAACTCCTTATAGCGGCACCCGTTCGTCCCTCGTAGCAGTTGTAGTGTGTAACAAGTATAACATTTCGACCTCCAAGGTGGTGTCGGTGAGAAACTTCTTTTTGTGCGTTGTTGAACAATAAAAAATAGTGCTCAATGTACATGCCAGTGGCTGCTAATGGGGAATGAGAGATAGGAGCATTCGGCTTTTAGTTAACGCGCACACTGCAATCCCCATTAGCAGCCATTGGCATGTACATTGAGCACTATCTGACAAGAAATGGTTGCTACGTTATACTCGCTGGGTGTAACCTCCTTAGTTTTAGAAAGGTTTAGGGAGTGTTGAGCCGCAGTGCCATGAATACAATGAACTAGTATATACCATGAACTCGCGGTGGTTAAAGGTGGGAAGTAGATACGAAGCACAAGCCGTAAGAAAGTAAAAGCTGAACTCTCCTATCTCTCATTTCCCATTATCAGCCATTGGCATGTACGTTGAGCACTATCTGACAAGAAAGGCTTGCTACGTTATACTCGCTGGGCGTGACCTCCTTGGTTTTAGAAAGGTTTAGCGAGCGTTGGGCCGCAGTGCCATGAATGCAGTGAACTAGTATACACAATGAACTCGAGGTGGTTAAAGGTGGGAAGTAGACCCGAAACGCAAGCCGTAAGAGAGTGTGCGTGTGCCACCTCTCGTTTAGTCCTTGGAATGTCCGCCGGATGGCGGTGCTTCTATATGGGGAATATATGGTGAAAAGATGCGAGATGGTGGTACTTGGAGTGTTGAATAGATGGACGAACGGACACACAGCCAGATGCATGGATGGACGCATGAACGGACGCAGGGGCGGATGTATGGACAAACACAGGGACGGACGCATGCACGGACGGGCGGATGGACGCATGGACGGCCACACAGACAGACGCATGGACGGATGGAAATAAGAACGAATGGACGGACGAATGCTTCGGCCCCCTCTCCATTATTCACTCCATAGATATGTTGCTAATTTTTTTTCCTTTGAGTGGCTGTGCTTACAGCTTTGATGTTGCAAGGCTTCATATTGATCAGTCTGGGTGAGTCTGGCTGTTTCGTCAGCATTGCATGCTTCGTAAAAACCATTGATTTTTTTGTGTTCACGAGAAAGCAGGGTTTATGATTAAAAGTGATGCGTGACCCGAGAAATCTGCTCCAAAACTGAATTCCTATGCTCCAAAACACACCTTTCGGTGCTCCAGAGCTGTTCGAACACTCCCTTTTTACTGCTCGAAAACCGAAGCATTCCTGCTCCCAAAGCTGCTTCAAAAGACTGAAACCCGCTTCCAGGCCCGAGTATAAATTAAAAACAAACACACAAACAACCAGGCGCCACAGAGTTCGAATAGGGCAACGAGTTCTTCGACACCAACACATTACAAAATGCCCTAATTTTACATGGTCATCAGCCACCGCGCAAACAAAACGCACATACTTTCGCCGCCTGTAGATTCGTAGTAGTATACAACGCCTTTTCACGTTTGACCAATA